CGGACACAGGCGAGAGCGTATCGGGAGACGGAGACCAACAAGACCTCCCTCATCCTTGGCCCTATCTCAGAGAATATTTCAAAATGTTCGAAAAATTGAGCTTTTAATTCCTATAGTGGCTTCTGGCTGTTTTCTTTAAAGGTTACGTTATACATTTATACTTTAGGTAGTTTGGAGCTCATACTTTTTCCCTTTTACTTAAGTAAAGAGGTCAAGTTGATATAGCAATTCCAAAGGTCTGTACTTTTTTGCGTAGCTGTGTCCAGTTGTCCTGGTCTTTTAGTGATTTTCCATTTTGGCAGGTCATATTGAGATTTATTAGAAGCGCTGTCCTCTCTTTGGTTCCATTTGTAGAACTATAAAAAAGGTTCTTCCTGGTCAAAACAACATTCCTACTAGTCAGAACTGTAAATATAGAAATCCCAAATGACAGTTTTGACAGTAAAACTTACATCTCAGGATGCAAAAAATATTTTGTTTGGTAGAGACTGGAAGAGGACTCAAATGCAGACACTGAAGTGGTTTCTTGCAAGTTTAATATCCAAATGGGCAACAGAAGCAAAAGCCTACAAACAAAATCAAGCAAAACAGACATGAAGAGCAAAGAAATGACGAGGAACCAGCAAACAGTGACTGAACAAGAGGTGTATATATGTGAGACAGAAACAAAGACCAGGCTAATCAGCAGATTGGGAGCAGGTGTGAACAGAGGAGTCTAGAAGGGAGCTAAGGGAAAGGATCCCTCATCGTTGGCCCTATCTCAAAGAATTTTTCAAGATAGTCGTAAAATTGAGTTTTCAATTCCTATAGTGGCTTCTGGCTGTTTTATTTAAAGGTTACGTTATACATTTATACTTTAGGTAGTTTTTGGAGCTCATACTTTTTCACTTTTACTTGAGTAAAGAGGTCAAGTTGATACTTCAACTTTAACCAGAGTGAATCTATACTTCTACTTACCGTATATAACAAATGTGTGTACTTTTGACACCACTGTTTACCTCAGATGCCGACTAACCTTCCAGTGATAAACCAAATATATATTTAGAGCTGGGCTAATGGTCTTATTTTTAATAAAATAAATCTTATTTATAAAGAATCCCATAAAATCTTTACTGCTAGGATCTATCTATCTATCTATCTATCTATCTATCTATCTATCTATCTATCTATCTATCTATCTATCTATCTATCTATCTATCTTTACTAGTTCTACAGTAACAGTTTTCCTATTTTGTTTTTTAAGTTCCTGAGCAGAAACTCCATCATCGGTGACGAGTATCGCTGGCCAACAACCATACCCTACTATCTGGAGGACAGTCTGGGTAAGAAATAAACAATCTTACAAGCCATGAAATTCCACAACAAACTCACTTCACTAGGTTGTTTAATTGGCTTTTCTTTCTCTTCTCTTTTTAACAAAAGATATTAATGCAAAGGGTGTCATTCTGAAGGCGTTTGATCAGTACAGACTAAAGACCTGCATTGACTTCACACCATGGAAAGGAGAGGAAAACTACATATCTGTGTTCAAAGGCAGCGGGTGAGAAAAACGTGGCTTTTTTTAACTAGGAAAATCCCAAACCAGACGCCATAGCCTGAAGTTCAGGGCTCTGTGTTTGAACCATCAGGGTCGGCCACCATGCTCCTCGCATTAATACCTATCATACACATTTTGACATTGATTAGAACCAAAGACTGAAAATCTCCATTTACCTCCATGCTACCACTGTGTCGACTACTAATGTGGCTGAAAAGGTTGAATCTTATCAACACTGATGAATCCCAAAGTCACAGCAGTACTGAGAATTTGTACAATATGCAATATTAATCAGTTTAGTAGGCTATACTTCTATGGAGTAAATATTGTTCCATTATTGTTTCAAGTAATAAACATTATTTTGGAAATGGTAATAAAAATAGATTTTGAAAATGCTAATTGGAAAAATAAAAGCAGTCAAGAAATTACCTTTGTCAAAATGTTTTGATGTTTTGTTACTGTTTTCGTAGCTTTTGGTTTTTTGGATAATTTTCTTGCAAATGTATTTTCTATTTTAGCAAAAGCATTTAAATTGGTCAAGAGTGATTGTTTGGATTGGGCTTGAAATGAAGAGAATGTGATCTGCAAAAAACAAATAGTTAAAACTGCAATTTGTAAAACTCAGTCTGCAAAAAATTTATTTGAAAACACAATTCTTAAAAAATGTTTTTGAGTACATTTGAAATAAGTCAAAACGACAAAATTTAATAAATAAATAAATGAGAAAAAAACTCTTAATTTGAAATAACAACACCTCATAAAACAGCAAAGTTATTTTTTGACTAAACTTCACTCCATAAGGTACAGCAGACCTACTAACAATAAATTATTTATCTGTATGTTATTCTCCATCTTATGCTCCAGACTGAATTAAATTAATTGAATCTTCAACTCTATAAAAATAGATCTGTTTCTAGATTAAACATTCCTAGATTTTAGAAATTTTTAGTTTTAAATCATACTTAAAATAGTTGTTGCTGCAAAGGCGGGAAAAATCCTGCTCTGCTGCATGTAATCCTGATTTCCATCTGTAATAGTTGTTTCATGTTAACGTTGCAGAAACGTAATAAATCATAACAGATTATTAGTTTTTGATGCTCAGTTGGGGAGATCAGTGTTGAATAATTCTGATAAACTATTGATATAATCTGTGCAGTCAAAATAAATCGTTGCTTTTACTCTGTGACAAATGCTACTGATTTTATCTCTTCTTCTGAGAGGTTCCAGTTAGTTCATTGAAAGTTTTTTGTTTGTTTTTGTCTTAAGATGCTACTCCTCAGTAGGAAACCGGCGTGTTGGAAAGCAGCAGCTGTCCATTGGTAATAACTGTGACCGACTGGGCACGGTGGAGCACGAGTTCCTACATGCTCTGGGTTTCTGGCATGAGCAATCCCGAGCAGACCGCGACGACTACGTCGATATCATCTGGGATCAAATTGAATCCGGTAACATCCTAAATCAGTCCAAAAAGTAAAAAAAAAACAAACCACTGAACTTTGTTTTCCAAGTTTGAAGGCGTTTCGCTTCCCATTGGAAAACAATTATTTGTTTTTTAACTTTAATTTTTTGGAATGACTATGACCTGGATGAGCGAGAATCTCCACCAGCATCCTGATTCAGCATGTTTTGTTTCTCCAAGTGGATTTTTCACACTGGAAACTTTCACAGAAACGAGGCGTGTTCAGGCGTTCAGGCATTAGGCCAGAATTAGCCTTTAACATAAAAACCAAGGTGTGATTGTAAATCCTCATTTGTCAGAGTTTAGGTTATTTCTTTATATCACTAAACCAGGGAACAGCACATAGGATTTTTTCCTTGAACAGCAAGTCAGAGGCTCTATCTATATACTAGATCAGAGGTCACGGATTAGGTCCGGACCCAACCTGATTTAAAACATTTACATATTACAGCATGTTTTTCAACGACAATGTCTAACTTCACTTGCGCTGCTTCTCCTGTTAATACGGTAAAGCCCTGGGGAGCGTCCGGCTCCAGGCTTCACGTGATCCAAATGAGCCAATGAGCTGTCAGTCTGGGTTGCTGCTGCTGCTACTTTTAGACACGGCAGGCAAACCTGTGGCAAGCCGGGCGATGGGAAAGAAGAAGAAGACAATGAGAAAAAGAGAGCAGAGAAAGTGTGGACTGCTGGAAAAACTGCGATGAACTGGTGAAAGAAAAGTGAAATGGCGTGCTCAAAGATGACCCTGCACATTTAGAGGATGTTTGGCTCAACCTGCTGCTGTGAAGCAGGATTCTCCACCATGAACAGAATCAAAAATAAATCTGGATCCAGGCTCAAAATGAGTAACCTGACTCCACCAGATGGATTTGCTCCGCATATCCATCTGGAAACCTTCCGTTGAAGTAATTTTGGGAAGGGGCGAAAATACTGGTTAGCTTATTGGCCTATGTTGGTGATAGACGGGCCAAATAAACCAATCAGATCAACGAAGCATATGACGTACTAACAGAGCGATGACGAAAACACAACCACAAGCCAGGCTACTCTTGCAAACCAGTCGGGAGAAGAGCAAAAACATCTTTTCCTCTGAGAAAAGCCTCCAGAGCAGTGTTTTGCTCTTCTTTCAGTGAAGAAATACTCTGTAATTCCGATAAAACTTGCTCGATAGCCACGCTAACGCTAGTTTCATCGGCTGAAGCCGCCATGTTCTTTAGACTGAACTGTCGCGCTTCTCGTTGCGTCACACCTCAACCCGCCTCAAAGCCAACGCTGATTGGACGTTCGTTTGGTGAACGGCTCCAAATTTTCTTTAACGGAGAGTCTCCAGACTGATCTGCGAGTGAAACCTTGAAAGCTCGCAAGATCAGGATGGTCTCATGAGGCTACAAAATGAGCACCTTGATATGTGCTTGAGAATGGCTTAGTCTCTGGTTAAACCCAGGTTTAAAGCCTTGCAGGGCAGCATAAAGCCCACTGCCAACATTAAGACAGAAAAAAGAAAAAAACATATATGTGAATCAGGAAATTGTCCATATAGCAAACTAAATGATTGTTGTTCTCTACTTCAAAAAACACTTTATATTTTGAAATGGAAAAATTTTCTATTTTTTTTTTTTTTTTTCCCCATTTAAAAAGTCATTGTATAGCATGGATGCATAAAAAAATAATTTTATTTCAGTGTAAAATTCTGTTTAAAGTAACAGATTATAATTAAAAATGTCTCCAGACCTTTACTGGTTGATTGTTTTTAATTGGTTATTCCTGTACTAGATACTTAAACTCCTGATATTTGACTGTCCTCCAGGTAAGGAGCACAATTTCAACACGTATGACGACAGTGTGTCCAGCGCTTTGGGCGTTCCATATGACTACGGCTCCGTGATGCACTACAGCAAGACGTCCTTTAACATCGACTCTGAGCCCACCATCGTCACCAAGATCCCACAGTTCATGGATGTGATTGGTCAGAGGATGGGATTCAGCGCCAGCGACCTAACCAAGCTCCGCCTCCTCTATAACTGCAGTGAGTCTGGACTCATCTGTGGGGCACAGCTGCAGCTAATAATTGTATTAAATGGAAAAAGGTCAGGTTTCTGTTTTTATATTAAAGCTAAATTAAAAAGTGAGGCAATTCCAATTAGAAAAGCAGCGTTTTATTTTTTCATGCAACCTGTTCCTGACATACAGCGATAATCTCAGGCTTTAATGTATCAGCTGTCAGGAAGCTGTGAATATTTTAGCTGCAACACTAGCATGCAGAAACCAGAGATGACAATAGCTACTCAATCCCACTTCATTTACAAGATTAGCGTCTCTAATGCTCAGTTAAGCAGGTCTCTGCAGCGCCCTCCACTCCCCCCACCCCCACCCCACCTTCTGTTCTGTTCAGTTTCACTCTTTGTCCTTTGGACACCAATGTATCTCTGATTTTAGTTTTGTTGTTGAGGAAGATAAAAAGCAAGGAGGTTGCCGCCTCCTTTGTGTCGAGGTTACGGCCTCCAGATCAAAGGTTGCCCTCATTCAGTCACTTACATAACATATTTTCTGTTATTGATTGATGTTAAACTGTTGTTCAGTCTGAATGACTGTCATTGAAAAATAACCTTGGGTTGTTTGTTTGCTTGTTTACCCATCTTCATCTATATTTGCACGAAAATAGTGTTTTAGGCACATTAATAGGTGCCAAATCTTCTTTTCAAAATGAAGGCTGTAAACAAAAAATTACACTTTCAAACATACATAGGAGCTAAAATATTTTTTTTTTTCATGCATTTTACTTCTGGTGAAAGGTTTTATAGTCAGTAATGACAAGGACGCATCATGCTATGGGGCTAACTGAATAATAAGTTTCTCTGTAAAGTGGCTTAAGAAGGCATTTGTAATGAATTGGTTCTATATAAATATATGATATTGGATTATCATCATGATGCAGATGGCGGCTCACACTGGGCCTGTTTCTGCTGGAGGTTTTTTCCTGTTAAAAGGGAGTTTTTCCTCTCCACTGTCGCTACAAGCATGCTTAGTATGAGGGATTGCCTTTGAGTCAATGAGTCGATGCAATCAACTGGTTTCCCTTAGATAGAAAACTTTGAATCAATCTGACTGGATGATCTGGTGAACTGTAAAGTGCCTTGAGATGACATGTTTTGTGAATTGCCGCTATAGAAATAAACTGGATTGAATTGAATAAAATAAAATAATCCACTGCGAATGGATGGAATAAGGATGGAGGTAAAAGTTCTTTAAAATCCTGGATGGCGATGACTTCAGAATATTGAAAATATGCAGACAAGTAAGTTACATCTCAGATAAATCAACCAATAGAATGAATTAAGGTAAGAAAGGGAAGAAAATTACTTTCCAGGAATACAGTAGAAACCTACAAATAGATTGAGGTTTCTATAAAACCATGGGAGATAACTCCATAGATTAATCTGCAATGCATTGATGTAGCTGCTGTTTCTTCTCCGTAGCTAAATCCTCCACCTTTGTGGACAGCTGTGACTTCGAGGAGGAGAACATTTGTGGGATGATTCAGGGATCCAGCAAAGCCACGTGGGAACGCCGCAGCTCTGCAATCGGAGGCCCTCAGAACGACTTCACCAACATGGGACAATGCAAAGGTTATCCTCATCTCATCATAGGAGTGTTGGTTTAGAAATGAGTGGAAGCTAATCTGTGTGTCTCATACTATTTGTTCATGTTTGCTCTTTGCATCGAACCTCTGAAACAAAAACACATAAATAACGGGCGGGGTTATTTATGAGAACAAAGTGCAGACAGGTGTAAGATTGTGCTGCTGCAGATTTTCCAAGATAAACATTATAAAACAGAAGTGGAACAGCAGTGGAGCAAGAATAACACCGCCCTCAGTCCTTTGTAACCAATCAGACTCAAGCATCAGGGAACGTGTTTGCCGTATAAATATGGAGCTACATTAGCGTAACAAAAATATTTGTCAAAATATTTTATTTTATTTTGAAAGCAAAGAAACTAAAGATTTTAAACAAACATACGGACTAAAGGGACATGGAGGGAAAAAAGAGAACTTTTGCGAGATCCCACAATAGTTTTGCGAGATCTCGCAAAAGTACAGTATTGCGGGATCTCGCAAAAGTTTATTTTTTGAAATATCTCGCAAAAGTTTATTTTTTCCCTCCATGTCTTTTTAGGGGCTCCGTAGCATTGCATACTGACCTTGTCCCTCTTCATTCATGTAATGTCGTGTTTTGGGACCACTCCAAATCATCCTCCATCGTAATAGCTGACACATGGGCGTATTATCCTTCCCATAGCAGTACACTTTGCACCTCCTCTGTTGTGTGTCTGTTTTACTTCCGGTTAGCTGACATGGCAAAATGTTTTGCGAGATCTCGCAAAAGTATCGCGGGATCTCTCAAAAGCTTATTTTTTACGAGATCTCGCAAAAGTATTGCGGGATCTTGCAAAAGCTTATTTTTTGCGAGATCTCGCAAAAGTATTGCGGGATCTTGCAAAAGCTAATTTTTTACGAGATCTCGCAAAAGTATTGCAGGATCTTGCAAAAGCTTATTTTTTACGAGATCTCGCAAAAGTATCGCGGGATCTCGCAAAAGCTTATTTTTTACGAGATCTTGCAAAAGTATTGCGGGATCTTGCAAAAGCTTATTTTTTGAGAAATCTCGCAAAAGTATTGTGGGATCTCGCCAAAGTTTATTTTTTTCCCCTCCATGTCCCTTTAGGGGCTCCGTACAAACAAAACAATCGAAACTGAAAAGAGCAATTTTTGGAACTGAAAAAGGGTTGTCAAACTGAAAATAAAAAAAAAAAAAGAAAACAGGGAAAAAACTAATAAAAAGAAGAACCTGATAAGGAAATAATTTGAAACCCCACTTTTGATAAAGTACCAAATGAGAGCAGAGTTTTCACATCTTTCTCTCTCTACTGTAGTTTTCAGAAAAGAGCGAGTAAAATGTGGTGATCTGTCATCTGTTACACCAGCTGCAGTTTAAATGAATCCAAACATCAGTTAATCTCTGCTAACCTGCTTTAGATAATAGAAGATAGAATGAGGCCACAGCATGAAAAGAGAACCTTCAAAGCATTTCAATTTAAGGAAATCATGCAAACCTCAAATGGTTTTGGTTTTTAAATATTTCTTTTAAAAACAAGCAAAGGAAGCCCTGAAAGAATCTCTCTGGCTCTTCCTGCACAGGGAAAGGCTACTTCATGCATCTCAGCACAGAATCCATTGGACCGGGTCAGAGCGCTTCCCTGGAGAGTCGCTGGCTTCACCCTAAAGCTGGAGCTCAGTGTCTGCAGTTCTTCCTCCACAACACAGGAGCAGCTGATGATGTTCTGAATATCTGGGTCAAAGAGTTCGACTCGGCCAACCCCAGCGGTAAACTCAAGCTCTTCAAGAGCATCTCAGGTGAGAAATAATCCCTTTTTAATCTGACAGTAGGGTTTAAAAATGTGGAACTCTAGGAACTGAGTTCTACATTGTTTTTTCTTTCTTTTTCATCTGGTGCTTTTATAAAGAAGAATGACTAATGTAGAAAAAAACATCTTGAATGATTTTAATCTTTTGTTCCCAGGCGGCGACATGGGCTCCTGGGAGCTGATCAACGTCAACCTGAACGTGACCCGAAAGGCCCGGGTGGTTTTTGAGGGGGTGAGGGGTGAAGGTCCTTCAAAGGGAGGTTTCTCTGTGGATGATATCAACCTGTCATCCGCTAAATGTCCTCAGCACGTCTGGCACATCCGTAACATGACCCACCTGCTGGCCACCACACCACCGGGGAGCAAGCTGTACAGCCCCCCCTTCCTGTCGCCATCCGGTTACTCCTTCCAGGTAACGGTCGGATTAAATCACCTTCCAAACCCGAGTCAGACCAGAACTTTACATCTGTCTGTGTAAAGCCGGCATACACTGTGCAATATTTTTAATCATTGCACGCAGCTACAGCTCAAACTGTACAATGAAACTGCAGGATTTAAAATTTCACAGCTCATGATGCAAGTTCTGCCACTGACGCTCAGATGCGATCTACCTGCTCACACTGTACGTCTAAAAACCACCTGTCAGACTCGGTGCTGAGCGATGGCGCTGGTCGCACTCGTCAATCTGGAAGAAGAAAAACTACCTTGGTTGCACATGCGCAGTG